TTCCTTCCTTCCTTCCTTCCTCCCTCCCTCCCTCCCTCCCTCTACTCAATAATCAATTTTAAGGAGTATTAGGGGGTAGTATAATTAGTATATTATATGAAAAGCTATCATAGGATAAAAAGAGAATGAGAGAGACTTGTCAATTTATCTATCATATATATATGTGTGTATATATATATGTGTGTGTGTGTGTGTGTGTATGTATGTATGTATATATATATATGTGTATATATATGTATATAATATTTCTGTATTTCTATATTTCTATTAATATATTAATCGAGTCTATTAAATCTAAGAGTCAATTTAAGAGTCAATTCCTTATAATTATTAATTATATTGTAATCAAACCATCTCCTTAATTAATCAATATTAATGCCAATAATATCTAAAATGGTGGAATTAATAATCTTCTAGCAATAACAATACCCAATGACAATAACAATATGTTTCTTTGATAGTAGTATTATAACATTAATTCCTAACCTTTAAGTTCAACCTTACATCTGACCCTCCTGTATTAACTAATTATGTAGATATTCTGAGTCCCCTTGGTCCATTAAATCATCTTTCTCTCTCTCCAATTGTTTCTTTTAATAATGTCCAAAGATTAACATAAATGTTCTCCAATAGTCAAATCTCTATTATCCAAGGGGTATAGTCAGCAAAAATTCTGTTTTCTCTTGAGGTTTACCATAGGGGAAAAAATTCCAGATTTTGCCAGTAGATGTTGCTCTTCCACAAGCTGTCCAGATACAAACTAACAAGATACAGACTTTAAAAAATGCACTTTCATGATATAAGTAAGCTTATTCTTGTTCAAACCTTCAATAGTTAACTCATTCCACCTGAAGGCATCCATGTTATCAGAGTTATTCACAGCCGGCCTTTGTTGTGTGAACTAATTAAGTTTAGATTCGGCTCCTCAGACAGTTCATAGAAGAAAAAGTCTCCAGGCTTCGCTCAGCATATTCCTCTTGCCGTTACAAAGGGGGTAGAAAAACCCACCCCACTCCTTCTTTGAGCCCCTTTATCTCTTGGGTTATTTTGGAATAAAATACCTTCCACAAAGATCAGGAATCTGTTAAGCCACTCGTGACTCCTGCAGCTTCTCTGTAATAAATCCTCACTTACTTTGAACTGCTATCAGCACTGTGGGATGGCGATTACAGATCACCCTCTTCCACGCCCTGAAGGGAATGAAGGGAATTTCAAGTGCAGACCATGAACTGCCATCCTATAGTCATGACAAACTAACTTTCCCTTCAGTCTTCCCTTCAGGAAATCATTGGTGTACAGAAGTCTTTCAAGAACGCCCCCTCCCCCCCCCCGGACACCAGATCCAGCTGCTCTTCACAGAGCTCTCCGTTCAAGCAGCCATTCATGCTGTCAGCTATCCCCGTCTTCGGTAAATACCACCTTTCCAGCTGATCAGGAGGAAATGGGGATTTTGCAGTATCTGTCCTTTGGAGGGGGTAGGGAATGGAGATTTTACAGTATCCTTCCCCTACCACACCCACCAAGCCATGCCCACCAAGCCACACCCACAGAACCAGTAGTAAAAATATTTGAATCCCACCACTGATTCAATCTGCTTGAATAAATTAAATTCAGCAATAATAAAATGGTTTGTGTTGAAGGCACCACAAGGTATTTCAACGTTATCAGGCATCATATTGCCAGACTGGTATCATATTGCCAGACTGCTAGGTGGTTAACAGTTAAGATGCAATTTATAACATTTATCACAATATTGATTATAGTCATTAATAGCCATTATATTATTGTTCTATCCAAATCTACAACCTGCATGTAGTTTCTGTAGAATAAGTTTAGATAAAGAACAGATAAAGGTAGAATTTCAGGAGCATGATTTGGTGATAGTTGCCTGAACTTGCAAATCTCTGATGTAGACCAAATTTGAAGCAAACAATGGATTGATTAGTTAAATCAGCAGTAGTTTAGCGCCCTTGTGCAAAAAAAGAAAAGAAAATTCTGTCTCCAGAATCTATGTGATCTTAGAGACCCAATCAAACTAATTATTTTCTAAACACAGTCTGCAGCCATTCATTTAATTTGTTTCCTATGTCCCTTGCAATGCATATGATCATCACACATGCTCAATTGAAGCATTACACAATACTGGAAAATGATGGCAAAACTCTAATTTATAAGATGGCATCATCTTATCATTTATCATTGATAAATTGGCTTGTAGTGAAAATAAAGTCATGAATAACTTCATTGAAACGACACATTCCCTTTGATGAACACAACCCTCTTTCAACTGTTAGGAAAGAAAAGACAAGTCTATTAAAGTTTTTGTGCAATGTTCCATCTCCAGAAAATCCTTGCCCTTTTCTTGAAGTTAAAGATTAGAGAAGGACTGATTGCAAATCAGTAAAGCTGCTTGAATTTTCAAGTTGACGGTTCACTTTAAAGGCATTTTGAGAAAATCACCCTTTAGATTGAATCTCTGAAACAATTTGATATGTCAAATAAAATCGGGTATTTCTTGAATGCAATCAACAATTTGAATTAAACTTGATTGAATGAACTGAATCAACTCAAATTGTAAAGTAAAATGAATTATTTCAGCCAAACCTGGCTGATTTTTATATCTAAAAAACCAGTTACTTTTCAATTATGATCTTTGGATACTTTGAAAAGTGAACTATATAATGCCTAATATGATTTTTTTACAATGGCACTAAGTTTAGGGTATGGGGTTTGTTGGATGATTTTTGTATTGACAATTGTCAGAAACAAGTGACTAAGTCATCTAAGTTTTTCTCTCTTAAGACACAATTATGCTATTTTTTGCAAGTAGTCAAAACAAGTTATTTATTCATTTGAGATCTGTCTAAAAGATAGGGCATTTAAATTATAGCCCTTCAGAAATTATCAGACTGAAACTTTCATTGCTCCATATAATTGGCCAAATTTCTAAGGCTTATAATTGGGATTCAGTAATATCTGGTGGAACACACATTGCTAAATTCTGATTTAGATTAATGCACAAATTCTATGGTTGGCGGGGACAGGAAAGGGGAATATCTTTAAATACATAGTGAATTAGGTACAATTCTAGAAACTGACCCTATGGTTTTTGTATGGTTTTTGTATGGTTTTT